TAAAAGATCCAGGTTCAAGACTTCTACGTTGGAGATTAAAGTTAGCCGAATACCAATATGAAGTAATTTACAAAACCGGAAAGTCCAATACCAACGCCGACGCACTTTATTCGAATAATGGAAGTTAAAGTCATGCAAACCAGGTCTCAACAACAATCAGCAGAATCGCTTATAAATTTGAAACTCTTCAACGAGTACATATCGGATAGTGAATGTTAAAATTATCGGAACACACGAGTCCAGGAGGTAACTGGAGACCTCTTCACCGTTTCAGAAGAATTCCATTTACTACACTGCGTGTCGGCTGATCTAAAGCTGAATAAGGGTATCGCCCTGGAATTTCGAAGGAAATTCGGACACCTACAGAATTTGAAACTTCAGCGCCGAAAAAAACCGAGGTAGCATACTTTAAATTGGGAGAACGATACATCATCAACCTCGTAACGAAGGATAAATTCTGGCAAAAGCCAACTTCAGAAGACATGTACATTTCTTTACGGAACCTCCGACTTTTTTGTCAAGAATTTGAAATCAAGAACCTAGCCATGCCTAAAATTGGTTGTGGATTAGACCAATTAGATTGGCCTACGGTGTTACGAATGATCAAGTACATATTTCATAACTCATAAATTAATATACAGATATTCTCTAAACAAAGTGTTGCCGCACTAGATAAACAACAAATTATAAGTGAACATCATTCGGCAGTACTTGGTGGACATCGTAGAGTCAATCAGACAGTCAAGCGAATTCAGAAACAGTTTGATTGGGAGGGGCTAAGTCAAGATGTCGCTGAATTCATTAGCAAATGTTCATCCTGTCAAACGAATAAGACTTTGTCGCGTAGTACCAAGCAACCAATGGTTATCAGTACCACCGCATCCGCACCCTTTAAAAGAGTATTTATTGACGTAGTTGGTCCACTCACTCGATCTTATCAAGGAAATGTATACATCCTCACCCTTCAGTGTGACTTAACCAAATTTTCGGTGGCAACACCGATGGCTAACAAAGAAGCTAATACGGTAGCGTAACATTTCGTCACCTCATTTGTGTGCATTCAAGGTATTCCACAGAATCTAATAAGCGATCAAGGAATCGAGTTCCTTAATAAAATCTTTTCCGAAACATGTAAATTAATAGGAGTAAAACGCATAAATACATCTCCATACCACCCACAAGCGAATGGTGCACTAGAGAGGAGTCACCGCACGCTAGGAGAATACCTCAGACACTACGTAGATGCAGACCAACAGAATTTTGATACCTACATACCATATGCCATGTTTACTTACAACTCATCAGAACATCAATCCACTGGCAAACAACCTTATGCACTTTTCTATGGGAGAACCTTACAAGTACCCTCATCACTAACAAAACCACCGGAACCACAGTATAACTACGACGATTATTAAGAAGAACTTAAACAAAGGCTACGAGAAGCTCATCGAATAGCTCTAGAACGTTTAATGAAGAACAAAATCAAAACCAAGGCTAGTTATGATCAAACGTCAAATCCAATAACGATTCATGTTAACGATAGAGTGCTTATTCAGGACAAAACTAGAAAGGGTAAGGTAAGCCCTAAATGGTTAGGCCCATACGTCGTACTGGAATTCAACGAGAACGAGAATGTGACTATACAGAGAGGAAAACGGAAAACCAAAGTCCATAAGAATTTAGTGAAAATATTTAACGAGTAGCCATGTAGGATTACTAATTTGTACATATTTTTTTTTTTAATGCGCACCTCTTCCTTAACGGCACACTAGTTCATTAATATAGGGGAAGTTCTTAGATCTTATAGCAACTACTTTGTAACATAATCGAAATCTTACAGGCTGGTAGCAACTGTCCCACTGGATGTGCAAGCAGAAAGTATTACACAACTTCCAGAAAGTCTAATTAGCTTGAATACCTTCTTGGACCACATGGGGATGTACTATGAATTCAGGGAACATATCAAACTCACAAACACAGATTGGAACCTCATAACTTTTGTGGATTTATCCAATTTCAATTCAAAATTTCAGTTGTTAAGGTCAACCTATAAAGCCACGGCAGAAGTTTGCAGTGATCTACAATATAAAGTTAATGTAACCGAATTCTGGCATCCATGCAAACAATTCGATCAATCCATTAATACATATTTTTTCGAAATCGAAGCCAATCTGGAAAATATTTGGACAACAATAGGGCAGGATACTAGTGCGGAAGGACGAGTTTGTCGCAGTTTTGGTACTTCACTCACCAAGCTGGCAAAAGTATTATTCAGCTGAAAATCATTTTTAGATGTAAATTCGATTCTTCAAGGGATTAAGGATCTGTCCATGACGAAACAACCGACAAGTGATTTAGTAGAAAATCAAACTAGATTATTTCCAAACAACTATGAGTGAGATTTCAAAATCGATCAGCAACATCTCCGACCATCAACAAAAGCTCAAAGAAAATTTTCAACTTCTACAAACTCAGGCAAACAAAAATTCTATGACAGTGAATACATTAATGGTAAAAACCACTTTGTTAGAACAATCTATTATTTTAGAATCACTCCTTAATCAATACGCGTACGAAACGCAAAATCTCATTTCTATTATAAATTCAGCAATTCATGGAAAAATTCACTCCACAGTATTACCACCAATTAAGCTTATAAAGGAACTTAAAGCAATCCAATTAACGTTACCTGCAGGAACCCAGCTTCCAGTAGAACCAAAAATACAGAATGTACCAGAGTTTTTCTCAATATCTTCTGTTTCCATACTACAAAAAGATTTTCTTCTCGTTTTTGCACTGCATTTCCCTATAATCACTGTAAATAGACATGTATCATCCCATTCTATTACCCTTTTTTATGAAGGAGGACAATGCTGTTATCATTGAGCCAGAGATTGATTATATAGCCTTTAGCGATGATAGTGAATTCTATTTCACCTTGACTCAACAACAAAGTGATTCTTGTACTAGGCTAACTTCATACACTATTTGCAAAGGCAATGAAAAATTCAACGAAGGGCATCCTCTAAAATGTGCGAATTAGAAATCTTAAAAAATACGCAATTTCTTCCGAATTCATGTAAAAGTAAATACATACAACTTGATGTAAGCATTTGGAACCGATTATTTAAAACGGATTCTTGGATTTATTGTACTCGTTCTGAATTTGTAACCCTAAATTGTAAAAACCCTCAAAAATCATTCCAGTTTAATATTAAAGGCAGTGGCCGACTTAGTATCTCTCCTTCTTGTATACTACACATAACTATGGCAATAATGTCACCTATCTTAAACACATTTATTAACCATACATTAGATTTAGTAAAGGAAAGTCCGTCGTTTAATATAAGTAACATCAAGGAATTAGATATAGAAGATATTAATCCCCATACACTCAGTCATTTTGGTTTATATAAAAATCTCCTCCAAGCAATACGTGAATCCACAATTGAACGAAAATCGAATAATAGAATAACAGAAAACATTTTAATAGTTCCAATGGAATATCATATTATTGTAGAATATCTTTGTATTTTGATAGTAGTAATAGTTATCGTATTTTTATTTGTAAAATCAAAAAAGCAAAAAACCTATGTTTATAAGCCAGAAATAGCAGAAACTGAATGTTAGTTTTTCTATAATTATATATATATTGTTATTTTTAGTATATTAAGTCGCAGGGACTGCTCTGGTTTGGCCCTGGGGGCATGTTATATGTAAGCATAGTATGTAGATATAGTTATATTAGAGTATAATATTTGTATTATGATATGTATACTGGCGTACGTGACTACGGAGCCGGACGCTGGACCAGAAATCTGCTGATCCAGCAATTCCCACCCTGGCCGTTGTACAGAAGGGCCCCTTGGGCAGTCTCGTAGACACAGAAATCCAGTCAGAACCTCTTTTCATTTTTATGCAGAAAATCATTTTAATAAGTCAATAAACACATCTTTTAATCTTTTAAACAGCATCTTTGCATTATTTCTCTAAAACACGTCCCTAATCTCTAAACTAGGAATAACAGCGCCGGTACACATCAAGAATCACACAAGATAGCTGGAGATAGGATCATAAAAACAAAAGAAAAGGCAAAAACAAATTACGATAAAAATGAACACAGCAAAAATATCAATGTAGGGGATAAAGTACTTACGATAGATCATACTCAAAAAGGAAAACTTAGCCCTTAATGGAAAGGCCCATTTGAAGTTATCAGCATTCACGACAATCAAAATGTGTCCATTCAACGAGGAAAAAAGAAGTGACAATTCACAAAAATGAATTGAAAATATTTTCAGAATAATAATAATTAAATATTTTTTTTTTTTTTGTAAATATAAATTATATGAAAACAATAATAAATCTAATAAACAAATATGATATTGTTTCAGACTGGGCAGTACTATACAAGTAAATACACAATTCACGAACACGCCTATCACACAACCATCAGGGATATATTTCCAAACAATAAGTACCCTCCAACTGACCAATTCACAATGGAAGTTACTCACATATGTAAATATCACCAACTATAATGAAAAACAGTCACGAATCAAAGAGATCAATAATAAAATAAAAGAATCTTATGAGTTAGGAAATAATCTTAAGATAGAATACACAAAACATGTTTGTATGCAGTACTAATCAAGCGGCAAGCTTCTTGACCGAAATCAACAGTAATAAAAATTACGTCATAAAAATCGCCGAGCAACCAAAATCATATAATAAGGAGAAGACTAATTAATATGGTAGGACGCGTGGATAAAGTACTATGTGGTGTATGCGGCGACACTGACGCTAAATATTTTCACGACAAAATCAAGGAACTCGAAAGCTTTAAATCACAACTTTTCCAAATAACTGAAACGCAAACACAAATTATGAAATCAATGTTAACAAATATAAATTCCTCATTAATCGAATTATAAAAGAAACAGGGCTCTCTGGTAGACGGGTACAATCATTTATTACATAAAACAGACGTGATAGAGATGGATGTAGGTATTCTAAAATTCCAAAATGTACTGACGGAACGCATAGCACTCTTAAATGTAATTTTAACCCAGTACGCTTACGAAACAGAAAATTTGGTCAGTATCGGTAATTCAGCACTTTTAGGTCATTTTCATCCAAGACTATTAGACGCAAATGAATTCAACCAACAATTAATTGAAATAAAAATTAAATTACCAATAGGATTGGGCTTACCAATTGACCTAGCAGAGAAAGGGATATTGGAACTACTAGATAGTGGAAATTAATGTAGTGTACGTTAAAGGAATCCTAATGTTTATTATGGAAATTCCATTAATTGACAACTACGATCATATGTTGTATAAATCTATTCCTTTACCTGTAAAAGTACGAATTAATTTGTATGCTATTATAGAACCAAATTCTGATTATATAGCAATAGATAAATCACTTCTATATCATATTGAAATAAGTAATTATCAACTTTCAAAATGTAAAGCAACCACAAACACTATTATTTGTAATCATGAACAACCTATACAACACGTAAGGGATTCATGCGAAATAATGTTATTAGGAAATCCTAAAACCCTTCCAAACGTATGCACTATTAAATACATTAAGTTTAGCCAAAATGTATGGCATAAGTTAGAAAATAAGAATTCATGGTTATATGTAACGAGCAAAGAAAATATTATAATTAAATGTAAAAATATAACAGCACCATTAATAATAAGTGTTGTTGTGAATATGTGTCATGAATATATGTTATGAATATATGTTATTAGTATTAGTATTAGTAATAGTGTACACCACCGTCGGCCGAAACGGAATGTGCTGAGCAAACCCTTTCGGCCCGGACGGAGCAACGACTGTTCGTCAATAACACAGGCGAGTCAGTCTTAGTTTAGAGTAAGAGCCTCTCGATTGTCAGAACTTCATTCAACATTCAGAACATTTATTATTAATTGTATTAATTTTTAAGCACCTGCCGTTAATTCAGGCACACAATAAAGTTAAATTAGTTTCTTTTTAATTTGTATTGTGACTAAATTTATTTGTGACTGAACACCTAAGTGTTCATAACAGTGTGAACAGCACTGGAATATTTAGTTTAGAAAATCATTGTGAGGCTTACACATAACGTAATTAAACTAGTACTTAAAAGGAAAATAATTACAAATATATATAAAAATTACACTCCAAAATTTAACTTATCTATACATTTTGATATATATTAAAAAATGTATCTAATAAAGATTTAGATAACACTTTGTTTCCAAAAGAAAATTTAAGAATAAAAGATAATCTGAATAAACTAACAGAAAATTCCAAATCACTAGATGAACTACAAAGTCACTTTAAAAGAAATGTTGTCAATACGATTTATGACTCAAATCATTATCTACTAATCGGTGTAATAGTTATGATCAGCAGTGTGGGCTTATTATTAGTATTAGTATTATTATTTTTAGTGTATCAAAATTATCAAAACAAAGAAATTGTATCTAAAATATATGAGGACTGTTAAGAACCCTTGAATACTGTTAGTTATATTACTCTATAGTTCTTGTAGTATAAATGTAAATTTATGTTTAATAATATTGTAAACTGATACGTGTGTGACAAAGGCGAGTAGGACTCCCTTCTCCATACGACTGGTCTAAGGAATCTGCTGAATAAACCCTTTTTGAACGGAAGACCAGCTCGTATGCGGGGCTCGCACACGTAGCAGGTATTTAGTTAAGTGAATCAAAGACTATTTATTTATTACCAAATAAGATCCTCCGGAAATCAATCATAAAGTAATATAGTTGTTTCCACATCGAAGGCGAACCTACAAATGTGAAAGAGCTATTATTTCTACGAGAAATGTAACAGCAGGAGAAATCAATGATATCATCCTTCTAAAATTCGATGGACACTCACGTGAATATCTGTCTATTGATACAGTTACATCAACAGATGATGCTATTCACTATCCACAAGAATTTCTCAATTCTCTTTCTCCTTCGGGATTTCCTCTTCATAAGCTAAAATTAAAAATTGGTGCTCCAATTACATTATTACGTAATATTCAACCACCGATCTTATGTAACGGTACAAGATTACAAATAAAATCGTTTATTATAGAAGCAGTAATTCTTACAGGGCCAGCAAAAGGAGAAATTGCATTTATTCCAAGAATTCCCATGATTCCCTCAGACTTGCCGTTTTCTTTCAAACGGCTTCAATTCCCGGTTAAAGTTTCTTTTGCCATTACGATGAACAAAGCGCAAGGTCAAACATTCAAGTACATTGGCGTAGATCTTCGTACAGAGTGCTTTTCACATGGACAATTATACGTGGCATTTTCTCGAACTGGGGACCCGAATCATATTATGATATTAATTTCAACAGGAGATAAAACAAAAAACGTCATATACTCAGAAGTCTAATAAAACTATTATTTTAATTATTTATCAACAATAATTTTTTCTTTTTTATATGTATTTATTTTTATTTTTATAAAGCTAGAAAAATTAATGTAATTATTTATACATATTATATTGTATTTATTATATTATATATTATTTATATAAGTTTGAGTCGTATATATTTGGTACATTTAAAAGGTAACGAAGTACACGGGATCAGCTAGTTTATAATAACCTATTTAATGAACTAATACACACTTCTAATACTAGCACTCAGATCTATACTGATGCATCTAAAACCGAAATGGGTATAGGACTTGCAGTAGTACACCTCAATGCAACTAAACAGTAAAAACTCAACAAATTAAGCAGTATTTATTCAGCTGAATACCTAGCACTATTGAAAGGAGTTCAATTAGCCCTAGATATCAATAATACTAAAATCGATATATGTTCTGACTCACTTAGTGCTTTAGCAAATCTGCAACCCAAAACCTTATCATAACCATTGGCTCTTTCAATCAGCAACCTTCTTTCCAAATCAAACAAAGAAATCAGAATTATATGGATCCCAGGTCACTGTAACATAAAGTGAAATGAGAAGGCAGCCGAAGCGGCTAGAAATGCAGTCAACAATAGTCTAGACAGTGAATAGTGAAAATATTCCTTTTTCTTTTAAAAAGAAATATAAACAAATACTGTATTGATTTGTATCAATATGATATTATCAAAAATGATATTACATCAAATAAAACCATTATTAACGACAACTAAGATATCGGCAACCACTCATAACGGTAAAACACAGGATGTGTGACTTTATTATACGATGCCGCCAGAGAAAAGGAAAGAAAAAAAAAGGGTATCTGCCGCCAAAGAATAATCTAGTTCCCAAGCTCACGATAACATTTTTGATAAAGCCGCCTACCACTCTCTGGTCAGCATCGTCGCGTCGTACCTTAAACCAGTGCATGAGCACCATTCACAGAGTAACAACCTCCAAAAAAAGTCTAAAAAAACCGATTTCAACGAGCGACATTCTGGACTCCTTATGTGAGCAATAATCAGTGCGTTTATTATTTCGAGTTATAATTTAAAAAAATATTACTCTGCGTCTATTAAAATCCTTACAAAATAATTCACAATCGACTGCGAATCAGGTAAGGCATTAATGTAATATTTTATATTAATTGCATTTATTATATTATCTGTGCGTGCTTTTTATACAATTGTGTTGTATAGTGTATTTGATTTAATTCTCGAAAACACGATCTCGAGAGCCCTCCGATCACCTGGAGGAAGGTAATTGCTTAGTCTTACGATTTTAATATATTTATCGACAGGCGTCGTATCTTATTTCCCATCGTAATTTTTGAGTCATTACAAAGTGGCACCCAACAAAAGTTCAGTTTATTCAGATAAATAAACTGAGAATTGATCAAATACATTTTACAAAATTATATTAGATAAATAAGATTTTAATATTTTATTATTAAATTTAAAAATAAATATTTTATGTTAAAAAAAATTATCAACCCCAAAAAAAATATTAAAAATAAAACTTAGAAAAACAATAATAACTAAAATTAAAATTAAAAGGCTTATAAGCTTATAAAAAATTTACTTATTTAATAATAAAACATAATAAGTAACAAACATTAAAACTAAAAACTAAAACCTAAAACTAAAAATAAAAACTAAAACTAAAAACTAAAACTAAAAAAATATATATTATAGGTACATTCATAAAAATATTCTATTAAATTAAAGTAGGTAACATCTTATTTATAATATATTATATTATATTAATAATAATTTATACAATTTAATTTTTATAGTAAATACCTATTATTATTAATTAAAAAAAAAAAAAAAAAAAGAAAACTAAGATACAATTTTTTTTTAGGTAAAACAAAATTTATTTATTTAATAACTTAACCTAAAATCCAATATAAAAAAAAATATATATGTTATTTTTACATATGATACAATATACAGTATACATTAAGTATTATTAGTTATTATAATAAGAAAACAAACTAAAATTTCCCCTTTTCCAGTAAAACGAAAAATTTAATCATTTAATAAATTATAATATATCATTCAAACCTTAACATCAACAAAATTTTTTTTTTTGTATAAATTAAGTGACTACAATTTAATCACTAAGCAAAAATGTATACCTAAAACGAATATATAATTGTATAACAATTCATACTTGCATTATTAAATCAAAAAAAAAAAATATTATAATTATATATTATACATGAATTATTATACAAATATTTATTACGAGATTATAATAATTAAACCTTAAAAGAAATTAACAAAATAACATAATTACTAAATATAAAATATATAGATATAATCCATCAGAAGAATACAAATCATAATCAAACAATACTTAAACAAATAACCATTCGTCACATTTTTATATTTGTAGAAATAAAATCCAAAATAATTAATTAATTGTGTTGTATAGTGTATTTGATTTAATTCTCGAAAACACGATCTCGAGAGCCCTCCGATCATTTGGAGGAAGGTAACTGCTTAGTCTTACGATTTTAATATATTTATCGACAGGCGTCGTACTTTATTTTTTATCGTAATTTCTGAGTCATTACAATTATGTAAGAAAGAATTAAAACCGCAAAATATACTTTTGGATTTTGAACTATCTGCTCATAATGGCGTTTTGCGTGTATTTCCAAATCCACAAATTAAATGTTGCCGGTTTCATCTCGGTCAAGCCTAGTATAGATAAATTGTAAAATTGGGACTTAAAATTGAATAGGACCGATATGAATCAGAAATTTCACATTGGTTAAAATATTTATTTGGATTGGCTTTTTCTACTGAAATTTCTGATGCATTTTATGAACTATTTTCTATTGCTCCTGACAATCAGAATATATCAGCATTTTCAGATTATATTTTAGCGAATTTTATTGAAAATGACAGCAGATATCCACCACACCTCTGGGCCGAGCCACCTTCGAATGACCCAAGGACTACCAATGGTCCAGAATAATATCACCGTCATTTGAAAGATCAATTTTATAACCCACGCCCATCTATTTATAATTTTATCGAAGTGATTAAAGAATATGAAATATTTTTCAAACGTCATTGTAACAACATAGTAGGAGCTTTATATTAAATTTTCAACCTTTTTTACCTAACAAATAAAGTTTTTTTGACATTCATAGAAAAAAAAAATAAAAAAAGTTTCAAACTGAGTATATATGTAAACAGCTCAAAACAAGTCAAAATATTTTTTAATGTATAGAAAAGGTTAAAATTTTTTTTTTAATTTTTTCACATTCAGCATTTACGATCATTTGTTTTATGGTTACACCAAAAGCCGAAATCGATTTTGCCAAATAACATTTTTCCTTAATTTTTATTTTGTTTTTCTGGGCGCTTTTGAAAACTATTGGAAATTTTAAATTTTGACCTTCCAAAAGTACCAACTAGATTCAATTTCCCATCGAACAAGATACTGAAAGTTAGGTACCGAAGCATTATTTCGACTACTAATCGTGTACACAGACACAAAAATAAAAAAACACATCAATGTAAAATCAATATATTCAACGTTCCACACAGAATCTAAAAAAAATGTTAAATATTTATTAAAAGAAAAGTTATTTCATTTGTCAGGTATTTCTATCACCTATGCCTTGTTGTATAGTAAATTATGAATGAAAGAAATAATTACTAGATAACATTGTAAAAAGGTTATAATGAATGTAAAGATTTTGACAAAATTTGAACACTGACACTGGAAGCATAATTGTACTAAGAAAAAATGTTTCCCTTTTAGAAGTTTTCAATAGTAAATTAATAAGTTTAAGTATTAAAAAATATAATCGTATTTGATAGGTTTTAGAATTTTTAGAAATCATGGCTCTCTCAAATAGACATTATTTTATGGGTGTATGGACATTCCTATACATTATTTCAGGGCTTGAAATAGATTGAAATAAATTCAGTTTCGGTTTCGATTTTGAATACCGGTTTCTAAATTTATCGGTTTTGGTCTTGATTACCGGTTTCTAAATTTTTTGGTTTGGGTTTTAATTTTTCAACTCCGGTATTAAAAATTTAGGTTTTGATTTTGTATACCAATTTTTACATTTTTAAAAACAGATTTCCAAATAAAAACTTGAAATTATAATTAAAGGTTTTATTATACTTAATAACTTAATAATATTTTTTAATGTTTGATAAAAATATAAGAAATGTTTTAAAAGGAGTGATTTTGTAATTCATTCTACAAATTACAAGCTATAAGGAACCTAGAAGTTGGAACAAAATTATTTGAACAGTTAAAACTTTAAAGATATGTAGTACATTCATCACTGGATGAATCAATCAACTGACTGAATCTTCTTTTGATGCATACCTTTTCCCTAAATATATTGAAAATAATATATTAATATGTATCTTTTTTAAATGTGGAATTCACCTATAGAAGATCAAAGAAGAGGGTAAAACGAGTAACAGACATGTTATTACTACGAGTACAATTAGATGCACTTTGAAAGTAAAACTTAAAGAAAAATCAACAATAACTGCTAAGTTATACAGAAAAAAAAATATAGAGAAAAAACAATTGGTCGAGATATACGATACAATAATATTATAGGTCTACTCAATATACATTCTACAATGATCAGTGCTCACCTCAGACCGCAGTTGGTGGTCTGAACAAGTACTAAGATTTATTTTTTTTTAATACTATTAAATCATATTAGTAATCCAAAATAATATAATATCTCGACCATAAAATAAGTTCAAAAATCGCTGTCTTTCGTTATAAGTACAAATAAAAACACAAACGTGGTTTGATTGAATATAATATATTATATAGCCCGTATACTAATATATTGAAAATAAAATAAATTTAAAAACCAGCATATCTATTGCATCTTAAATAGTGACACGGTAAACTTGACAAGGTTGAGGAAAGAGGTGACACTTTGAATAACTACGAACTGTCTTAATAGTTAGCTGTATCTTTATTGATCACAAAGTATACACGGTTACACGTTAGAACGAATACAGCCCACGTCCGGGCCCCGACCACCTGCTGTAAGACTGCAGCGCGTCGTGCGGGTGACAAAGGAGCGGAAGCGGCCGGTATCGCGACATGCTCCCCCTGGTCCCCCATGAACCCGCACGATACTGTCTGCTTATTTACAGCCCGTTGTCGTCGCTGCCGGGTAAATTCGACATCATCTCCACCTCTGGAAGCACCTGTGGTCCAACCCGTAGTTGGAGGAACTCCTCTTCGTCGGTGTCTAAGTTGATGAAGTCCGCTACCATTGGTCCTTGGTTGAGGTCCGCCATGGTCCTAACCGTCCTAGTCCGTGCTGGAGAGGGTACCTGTGGTCGTCTCGAGGTGTGTCGAGGTTCCGTATGCCTTGCGGGAGGGTGCACCACTAATCCCCGGTACAGCGCAATCTGCATGAGTGAATGGTTCATCAGCTCGTCCAGGTTCACCGCCCACATTGCCAACGACCGTCCGTCGTACGGTTGGGTTGGATCTGTATGTTGTGAACCACCGGTCGGTGTTTCCGCGGCCGGTTCGGTCACGGTGTCCGTCTGCTTGCTCCTGTAAGCTCGTGCGTGGGGCCTCCCATATGGTCACCACGTAGCCATCAACATTTCCCACATGGGGATTCCCGAAATTTGGCTGGCAAGGTGGCGGGTGTTGAGAAAGTTCAACGCCGCATGGTCGAGAGTCAGTTGTAATTATTATTTAAATGTTTAAGTTTAAACGGCATTGATATACTGTGCAGTCTTGGTACGTGTAACCGTATAGATAATAATATAAATAAATTAACCTGAAGGCTTGATTTCAAAAGTAGTACAATTAATAGGATCATCTGATGACGTCCCGCAATCAAGAGTAAAATGTATTTTTTGACGTGTATTTTAAATCCGTTACATAACATTAGTACTCAATGTCCCGTTCTTGACAACTGTCACTAATATTTACAGACTGTAACATATAAATGTTAAGTACCATAATTTAATTGTATTGAAAAATAAAATACATGAGTACTTACATGCCAATTTTTATGATTCCGATCATCCAAATACATCATGCCAATAATTGGTGTTCCTTTAATCGTATTTTTTTTTATTATTAGCGTGGAAGTCGATGATGAAACATTTTCCACTATGATCCTCATCTGGATTTTCCTGACAGCTTTCATTCATATTTACCATCTGCAACAAACAAATGTTAAGTACTATAGTATAATTTTATTGGAAAATAAAATGCATGAGTACTTACATGCCAATCTTCAGGCGTCTGATCATCGAAATACGTCAAGCCAACAATCGTTTTATTCACCCTCAGAGTAACAGATGAACTTGTGGAATTTTCCACTTTAATGGCTGCCGGATTATCTAAATAAAATATAAAAACATTTTTTATTATAATATATATTATACTAATAATAGGTTTTTATTTTATTATTTTTTAATCTATACAATTGTTCATTGTTGTATAATAAGCTGAAGTGGTATTAATTAGGGCTAGCTTGATGTCTTTTGTGAAAAATCCATCCACCCAGATATTAGGTAGGTGCTTCACGCGTGATGCGATGGTTAAAGGAAATAGAGTAAATAAATTAATAAATAATTAATAAATTATACTAAAATTACTGCAGTTTTCGACATCATATTTATGTGAACAAGGATTTTCCACTCTTGTTAACATAAAATCAAATAAACGAATGAAAATGGAGTTCATTGAAGAAGAAATGAGAGTATGTCTTTCAACTATTCGACCACAAATAAAAGATTTGTGTAAAAAAAAATGCACCTACACCTTACTACTTTGGATTATACTTATGCACTAATAAATAGAACCGAAGTACTCTATAGTATAGACTATAAAAATCCGGAGGCACCCTATACTCCGGATTTTTAGAAAATGTCCAAGGGTGCCGCGAGTCAAAAAAGGTTGGGAACCTCTGGTATAGATACTAATATAAATAAACTTACCTGAAGGTTTGGTACTAAAACTTATACATTTAGTAGGATCAACTGACAGCCCAGGAACATCAACTATACAAAATGTATATTTTGAAGGATTGGATTGCAAATCCGTTATATAACATAAATACTCAAACTCCCGTTCTCTACAACCGTCACTTATATTTATAGACTGAAACAAATAAATGTTAAGTACTATAGTATAATTTTTATTGGAAAATAAAATACATGATTACTTACATGCCAATTTTCAGGATTCCGATCATCCCCACATACTTCACGCCAATAATTGGTTTTTTTTATTATCAGCTTGACAGTCGATGTAGACAATTTTCCACTATAATGGCTGCAGGATTATCTAAATAAAATATAAAAACAATTTTTATTATAATATATATTATATAATAGTTTTTTTTTTATTATTTTATAATCTATAATATACAATTGTTGTATTTATTATACAACTGAAGTGTTATTAATTAAGTCTAGCTTGATGTCTTTTGTGAAGAATCCGTCCATCATAATATTAGGTAGGTGCTTCCCATAGCTATGAATATTTCCAATAATATGTTATAGAAGACGAAGTAATCGTAATTTGTCAGAAAATGTAATACAATTGCATGACAAATAGTGTTCTTTAGAATAATTTTTATCTACGAGAATTACCAGCCAAATGTTTAAAAGCAATTCGTATTCTCACCTCCAGTTGAAATAAAAAATAAAAATTGGAACCATCGTAAAAAAACCCACACACAAACACAGATAATGTTCTTAACATATAGTTTTATAATACTTTGATTCACTCTAGTTTCTAAACCACGGTATAATATACCGTGTCTTAAACTAACGGAGCTAAACGTGATCTGCTGAGAGTAAATTTGCTATGTTATACACACATGTATAAGATGGTGACAACAAATATCCGAATATAAAGTATCCGATGCACAACATCCACGCCAGTATGCATTTTGAAAATTATTGTTATATTATATTCTTGCCATTCGAAGCAAATGCGTTCATATATGTATGTATATTGGGTTATTCCAACATTCGGTATGATTATCTTATTAATTATTTCATATCATCAAACAAAACTCACTTTCTTAATATTATTCATTCACATATTATATATTCGCCTTTTATAATATAGAGTTCTGTGACATCATCGTATAATAGCATAGTTGTAGTATTAATGCATACTACTATAATTATCGCTAGATCATATTCATAATTATCTATTTACAGTGGCGTATTGGGGGGGGGGGGTATCCTCCTTGTCTGGTCATCCCGCCACGGCTTAAAAAATAAAAGTGCTAATATATTGGACATTGGTGTTATCATTTATTTTATAGTAGGTACTATTTTTATGTTATTATAAAATAAACGGCAAAACTTAAATTAATTTGATTAGATTCGACGACACCTAACCTAACCTACAATTTATCGGGGATATCCAGAAATTTATAATTCATTATAAATAATACCAGTGTCGTATAGGTATACGAATTATTTTCACTTAAATAATTCACTTAAACACGCCAATTTATCAGTTATCACTAGCCAAGCATAGCACGGCTAAAATAGCCATAACTATACATTTTTTAGGGAGCCGAGTGTTATCATTATGACATATACAATACAAATAAAAATGCGTAAAATTGCGTAATTTAATTTTATAACTACTGTATATTATATAGAATTAGTTTGTTGATTCTTTTTTGAAAAATATTGACAGTGTCATTTATATATTTTAATGTTATTTTACTATGAATTTAACATTAAATTCAATAATTCATCACAGCAAGTCCTGACAATCTAACATTTCCTTGTTGATTCCTCAAAAACGATTTTAATCAACCGGTTGAAACAATCGATGTAATTGGAGAAGGAGATTGTTGGTTTCGGTGCGTCTCTATTTGGCTTACGAATTAGTAAGTGTATCACGAATTATTGAGATCCCGTGTATATATTAAGGTATTTATGTTTATTAACTATAATACAATACTATTCATTTCAAGTTAATAATAATATATTATATACTTAATAAAAAAAAAACAAGGATTTAATAATATTACTTTTTTTATAATAGAATCATAATTCATCAAACTTTCATAAAATATAATACTTAATATTAAATGTCTCACAAAAAAACATTTTTTATTCAAAAATTGATAAATTAAATTAAATTTATAATTAACAAAAACAATAATATTTATATTATCGAGCATATCATATTATGGTATTATAAAATATGTTTATTATTTTAATTTAAATTGCTATACAATTATTTCATTTATTTGTTTATTTATAATTATTGTACATTTTTCTATCAGTTTTTACAGAAGACAGTAGAGTTCACAGTTTTGTTGGTGATATTGATAAATATTTAGAAATAAATCCAATCGATATAAGTGGCACATGGGCAACAGAAGCGGAGATATTTGCTACTTCTCTGTTGTTGAAAACAATTAGTATTCTTATATATTCAGACTACCATTGTTCATGGCAACACTTTGGCAAAGATAGTACATAATATGTACTATCTATTATATTATAAAGATGGGATAAGCCCTGATGAAAATTGTTTGTACATATCACACGTTAATGGAATCTATACTTAGTAATTACTGATGTGGAATGAAGAAAATATATCATAAATGTTAATTGAACACCACCAACAACAAGAAAAATAAAATGAAGAAGAAGAAGAAGAAGAATATAATTAATTTTTGTATGCAATTGCAGTGAGAATTATCTAATCAGAATTATTTTCATTATTTTAATATTTTCACATAAACTAACTGTTATTTATTTTGTTTTTAATTTAGTGGAAAACCTTCAATCGCCAAAACGTGTCAACCCAAAACATAACCAAAACAAATTTCATTTGTCAGGTATTTCTATCACCTATGCCTTGTTGTATAGTAAACTATGAATGAAAGAAATTATTACTAGATAACATACCTACTAAATAGGTAATAATGGATATAAAGATTTTGACAAAATTTGAACACTGACCACTGGTGGCATTATTGTACTAAGAAAAAATGTTTCAATTTTAGAAGTTTTCAATAGTATATTAATAAATTTAAGTATTAAAAAATACAATCGTAGCATTCGATAGGTTTTAAAATGTTTAGATATCATGGCTCTCTCAAATAAACATTATTTTATGAATGTATATTGTATACATTCCTATACATTATTTATTTGCCAATATTTGGCCATAATTGACTGTTCCAACTGCTCTAAGAGTAAAATATAGGTACTTAATTTAATTATTAATTTAAATTTAATATTATTACACTTTTATTAAGGTGTTGATAAAGAAAAATATATTTTTCTTTTTTTGAAAAATAAACCGAAAATCTAAAAAATATATTGACGACTAATTTTTATATATTTTAAGTTTAAATTTGGATGACACTGGATATTTAACCCGAAAATCTAAATTTTAGTTATTTTGTTAATAGTCAAAAAATAGTAGTGGTACCTCTTAGTGCCGTGACCACACTGTATTATACCCTATCTTTTGGTAACAAAAATTATGAAAAAAACATAAACTATTGAAGTAACGAGACGGGATTTCACCGCCAGAGTTGCGCGTAATTATACGTCAATATTTTAATGAGACAAGCTGTAAACAATTTAAAAATGAATTATAATTTATGAACCTTACACAAAAAATTAAGTATATTATGCCCTATCTTTTGGGAAAATAATTAGGACAAAATATAATTTATTGCAGAAACAGGACGGTACTCCACTATTACAGGTGCTGAAATATAGTCCAAATTGTAGACGTTATGAGTTGTGTTTAAGTCCCAAATTGTTAAGGACTTATAAAACGTATTCCAAAATTTTAAGTAGAGTATATTCTATCGACTGATATAAAAATCAGCGAAATATATTCATTATTACAGAAAAGGGACGTTTTTCCAATGCCACTGGTGCGCGTACTTAGGTCGATAGTTTGCGGGATGAGCGTAGATATTATATAAATAACGAACTTCACACATATTATTAATGATTTTGTTTTTTATACCAAGAGTCTAGACAGTGTATAGTGTATACTGTATAACAATGTCTACAAATATTTCTTATGATAGTTGTACATTAATTTAATTTACTTACATTAAATTTATAATATTTTACATAAATCAACTTAATTTTTGTATACCCTTTTGCATCACCAATATTATTCTCGTAATTAACCGATGTTCAAGATGATGCATATACGTTCTTATGAGGACTCGTCGTTTCCTTTCTATAATAATATAGACCAACACATTCTCATAACGACCGATACCAATGGAAATTATTATATTGTACATAATATATAAAGAACATACAATTATTTAAACCTCTATACTCTTGTATAGTTTATCCCATATTATATAATTATTAATTAACAATAATATTTTATTGAATATAGAACATGTCACATTCACGCAATTATAGCTATGCCAGAATTGTTTATATATTATATTGATATAAAATACGAATACATAGATGTAATACGAAAATAATACAATATGTAATTTTAACTATGTTATCAATTTCTTCGGAAGTCGTTGATCGCCATCGTCTTCATAAATTGAAAGCTGTGTGAGAATAACGTGCTACCTATGTTACTACATTTCTGATTTCCCACTTATTTGTGTCCTGTGCTCCTGATTAATAATCATTGAGCACAAGACCATACACTGTACAGGTAAATTTTATATTACGTTTATACAATTATTATTTAGTAGTGTTCATATTTCATAGTACGCCAGTACGTTAATACTTATACTCGTTTAATATGATATTTACTCGGATGTACGGATGCACCATGTGGCCACCAGTGGTGTACTGGCGTAGTGTGTGTGTATGATGTGTAGTGTGTATGTACTATGTACAGTACAACAACTATTTCAATATCTTATAATACCTACTACAATAGTATAATATTTTGTGGATTATCTTCATAGTCGAAAACGTGATAGCTGATAATAACACATAAACGGAATACCAATTTATAGGTATTATAGATTTATGATAAAAGGGATAAAAGTAGGTAACCACTCGGTTGTACCTACAATGCCTATTACCTATAAATGCCAAGTGCATACCTAGCTTATCGTCAATGAGTAGGTGCCTAATAGGTAATAGTCACTAAGGTAATTACTAAGAAAAGTACTGGGAATTTTTTACTTTTGACCGGCAATGTATCACCTGGATTAACTTACGAATGTGTTTTGTTCTTTTTATACATAACTATTAATTGTATTTATATCATTAGATGTTAAAGAATTCAAAGTTTTACTTTGTAAAATATGTACTTTTAAAATATATGTCCAAAAATTAGCAGTAAAATACTTGATTCTATGTATATTGTATAGATATAAATACTACATTGTTTTTAATTTACAACAGAATCTACTATATTGGAGTGTTAGAAAAAAATTAGGGGCACAGTATAAGTATTGGGGCACTAATTGTATCCAGGCTCGACCGGAAGTTGAAGTCTGCGCACGCCTATGCATACTATTTAAACTAGCTAATGGAAATTTGGTATGTCGTGCGTGTGTAAGACGGAGACAACAAATACATGGGTAGCGTCCTCTTAATAGTGTTGTTTTAATCAGGAGCAGGTGTTATCAATGATTGTTGAATTATAGTGTTAATACCTATTTTTAGCACGAAAGAAAAAACCACAAAATCGGTACCAATTTAACTCGTTTGCTTATCGGTGATTAAAATCAGTACGCCACCCGCATAGTCGGAAATTCGCAATTTTGAATTTTCTTCAAAATCTTGTAGAGCATAGACTTGTATGTAGTCTTGTAGAGCATAGACTTGTATGTTGTTTTGCAGTTTTAGTAAATTAATTTAGTTACAACTTACATTTTTTATCACTTTTGTAACTTCTGTATAGTGTTGTTAAAATAAAACGAATACCTACATTGGACGAATCCATTGAGGTAAGATATTATTCAATTATTATTTATATGCTGTGACATAAGTAAGTACCAACGCTTTAAAATATTTGGGACCTAGGTGCCTTACATTTTAATATGTTAATCTATAATATTATGTTTAAAATAAATTGTGAATAGGTATGTAGTTGTACAATTAATACAACTTTTAAGCCAAGAAAAACCAAAACCTATCGACATTGCCAAGTATAATGAGTTTATGAGTGGAGTAGATCGCGCCGATCAAATGATCTCTTATTATTCTTGTCCTCGGAAATCTGCAAAATGGTACAAAAAAGTTATTTTTCATCTGTTAGACGTCGCTGTTTGGAATAGTTTTTATATATATAAACAACATTTTGACTGTCCAGATTTCAGGTTCAAAGTATATAGAGACTTACTTATTAAAGATTTAATTAAAATTCCAAAAAATACTACAGCAACTGAATTTTTTCAATTAAAAAAAAATTCAAGAAAATCAAGCCGAGGTGAAGATTTGAGAGAAGGTCATTTCGAAGAACCCATACTGTTACCACCAAATTATAAAAGACAAAAAAAATTAAAAAATTGTGTACAGTGTTATAAACAAAAAACCAGAAAACAAACTTCCATTCAATGTCAAAAATGTAAAGTACCTCTGTGTACACTATGTTTTAAAGATTACCATGCTGCTCAACCAGAAGGATGAATATAAAGTTAAAATTAATTAATTAATAAAAAATAAGTTTAAAATAATGATCTAAGTATTGATAAGTATAATTTTTCAATAATATAATAAAGTTTTTGTATTGCATTTTGTTTCATTTCATTAAATAAAAATAACTTCCCTATCTTTTTATGCATTCCTTAAAATAAATCGTAGCTTTCAACATAATAGTTATAAAATAATTAACCAATAAAATGTAATACTGGTATAGCAGTAATTTTGTAATCAAAAATGTGATGTCGGGGGTCAGTACTGCTATAGCAGTAATGAAAAGTGACGTTTTAAGGGTGGTATTTTTGAAAAATAATTAAATCAACTGTCCATCAACGTGTTAAGATATTTAGGTTGGTCTAATATTATATTGATTTTTGTCAGTTGTAAATATTGGATTTAAATCAATAACCTTTATGTAATTTTAGTATTTTCCATTACCAAGTACTGCTACTGAAGTTTTGCATATGACTAATGTACCAGATTGTTCAAATTCTATTTTACAAGACATATCATATCCTACAAGTTTAGTAACATTGAGTTCAAATTTAGAAATACCATTAGATAAATCGCCTTATTCCAACAACTCTAAATATGGGTCATATAAACCAATTTCGTGGACAATTGAAGTAAAGTTATCACTTACCTAAGACATTGTTTTAACTAGTTATGATAAAATGAACAATATAATTTTCTTTATAGACGATGTTAAATCTATTGCACACAACAAATGATGGTAGGTACATTCTTGCAGATAGTGTGAAAAATAGTGGAAATTTATCTGATAATTCAAAAAATTTATTGACACACCTCTTAATTAACCATCTTTTACAAGACCAGCACAAGTATATGTTCCTATGTTTAGATTTTTATAATTTGTTACCTTAAATAGTATCATTACTATATTATTAACTCATTAATTAGATTTAGGTACCTACCTACAAACAAATATTTCTGATTGTAAACTCTTTAATGTTCTTTTAAATTATTTAAATTATTTTTTCATATTAGAATTTTGTTTTATAGAGGAAATGATTTGTTCTTCAGAAAAATTGCAGAGCTGATAGTGGAAGTTTTTCCAAAAGAACAAAAGGTAAGGTTACAAACACATACATTAAAATGCATTATAGCTTGTTAGGTATATTGGTTATTGGTAGTAATATACTATAGTATCTACAATCTACTTACCTATTGCAACTGTTGTACTATAATTTTAAGCTTAATATTTCAAATTAGAGAATTTAATGAAAATGAATATAGTAATACCTATTTAATAGGTAACTTTATTGTTTATTACATTTTATATTAATATTACTACAATTTATTATTTACAGTCTGTTTATTTTATCCCGTCAAAAACTGAAGGCAGTCATCAAACGCATGCAAAAGGAAATTTAATTGAGAGATGGAAGAATGTTGCACGTAGGCTAAAATTTGTTGGTGCTATTTCGTATGATAGAGTAAAGCCATCAAAAACTGTAAATACAATATCCCAGTATATACATTTTTCTGGTAAATTATAAATGACCTTCAATACCTAAAACTTTAGAAACTAATTATTTTATATTTATTTAGATGAAGTTCTTGAGGTTAAAAAATGGCTTATTTCTGATGGGCTAAATTTTAATTTATGCGATATTGGAGACAAGTGGGAATTCACCTTTAACTTAAGGAAAAATGACAAATTTGATTTAACTTCCTTATCTGATGTGTTTAAAGCTTGGCCAATATTTCAGGGCCCTAATAGTTATGAACTAGTGTTGGGTAATAACTGTTTGTCACGGTGTCGTAATTGAACGTCATTTTGCATTTAAAATACCCTATTCTATATACCCTTTCCTGTGTATAAAACAGGCACATTTTTATTTTGTTTTTACTTACGTAATCATTTTTAAAACCACTTTTTGTTAAATAATTAAAATCTATTACGTTAAGTTAATCAAAAAACACTGCCGGTAATTCATAATTATATAAGTTGGTTATTAAAAATAATAAATATTATTATATTTATTAATAACACACATATTTAAATAATGAAATAATTAAAAATAATAAATACTATTATATTTATTAATAACCCACATATTTAAATAATGAAATAATTAAAAATAATTAAAAATAATTAAAAATAATAAATACTATTATCTACCCATAGAGTTAATTATTATAAATATATGTATATTTTCAATAATAAATAAATTATGTTTTATTTCAAACACATAGGTTCTAAATCTATACAAGAAGACACGTGTATTGTGTTTTCTTATAAGATTTATAATATTTTTTTTGTTTTAGATGGACATGGGAGTCTGTGTGATAAAAAAGGTTAAGTTTTTTTATTAGAAAATAATATAAAGAAGCAAATTAATATTTTTTTTTGAACATAAAGAAATTAACAAAAATGAAATTATTAATTTTTTTATATATTTAGATAAAGAAATAAAAAAAATAACATAAAATCTGGAGTATGTTTAACTTCTTTAATTATAAATAAATTAAATAAAACAGGTTATTTATTAAATATAGGTGTTACGTTTTCTTATGTTTTTAAAAACAAAAAACAGATTTACAAAACACCTATAATTAATTTACAAAACTTATCAGAATTAAACCGTATACATAAATGTAATAAAGGGAAATTTATTAAAAATAACAGATATAAAAAACTTGCCATGACAAGAAGTTTAGGGGATTTTGATTGCAAAAGTGACATAAACGAACCCCTTATTGTGTCTATACCTTCTGTAGTTTTTTAAAAAATATAAATAATAAAACATTTTTATTGTCAACATATGGCTTAAATATAAATTATGATATTAATAACATAATTTATCTATTTAATAAAAATGATAATAAAAAAATATTGGATTATTGTAAATATATTAATAATAATAACATAAATACATATAAAAATGTAGATATAATTTGTTTTTTAGTTTTATATGGCGAAAATATATTAAAAGAAAAAAATATAACAGAATTGAAAATGAAAAATGTAATTGAAAAAAATACAACAAATATTGAAAGCAACACTACAGATATTGCAAGGAACACGACATATATTGAAAGGAACACGACATATATTGAAAGTAACACGATAGATATTGCAAGTAACGTAATATAGGTACATTTACTATATATTAGTTGCATACAATATATAGGTATAAAGGTAAAATCATTATTAGTTAAAAAAAAATGGGGAATATGCGAAGATTGTGACAATGAGAAACAGTGTTTTGCGGTCTCTATAAAACTTCCAATAATGAAATACAATCCATATCCCATAATTGGGTGCGACTCGTTTGCGCACATTTACCTTTTTTACGGCACGTTTGCGCACAAAATCACAACTCGTTTGCGCACACATATTTTGGGTTTAAATTATAAAGGTACAACTCGTTTGCGCACACATATTTTGGGTTTAAATTATAATTAAGGTATAACTCATTTGCGCACATTTCACTTTGAGCAGAACAGCACATTTCTCTTCTCACTTTAATATAGGCTTAGGACCATCTGTTTTGTACAGATTAAAAATGTGCATGTCGTGTGTGTCTGTTCTGAATAAATATATAATTATACAATTAATAAGAAGTAATAGTGGTTCTATGCGTGTTTTTAATTTTTAAAATTTTATATTTTTTTATTATTAACTAACCTTACTACATCACTCAAGGAACATTTTTTATTTGTACACCTAAAATTTGTATCACTAGATTTTAAAGTTCGAAATTCTCTTTCAAAAATATCACAAATTTCGATATCCATAGTCACTAGTCAGTAGGTAGTACCGCTTTCTGGAGAACGACTGCTTAAAAATATTATGTTTAATACACGTCGATTATTTTCAATGATAATAATGATATATTGAATATTGATATGCTGATGTACTGATAATCAATTACTTAAGTTAGTCCAAATTTAAAAATATAAAATATATGTTATGCAGTGTTTATGTTGTGCGCAAACGAGTCGTCCGTTTTTAGGTTAACGACGGTATTCGTTGTGCGCAAACGAGTCATCGATATCCAGGTAAACAATTTGGATTGTGCGCAAACGAGTTGCACCGCCCATAATTTTATTTTACTTGTTATACTCTGATAGGTAGTCTAATGGTTTAACGCGTAGGAATGTAGGTAGGACATTTGTTAGGTAGTAAATGTGGATGATAGTCAAGGGTTCGAATCCCGTTGGATGAGAAAAAAACTTGATAAATTTTTTCTAAAGAATTACAATATTTTTAAAATTGCTTGTTGTTAATTTAACACTCCTATCGACAGCTATTGATATCACATAAAAGGTATTTTGAACACAATAAAATATTTTTAAATTTGTATACTACATGTTATTTTGACAATAAGTGAAATTATAATAATATAATTGGTTGTGTAATGGTAAAAGGTAAAACATTTATAGATGTTAAGTTAACTCCAAAATAATTAAAAATGACTGCCTTTAAAAGAACTTATTTTGACTTATACGTCTTATGTGGTATCAACACCAAGCTTCTAGTGAGTGAAAACCTACACTCCATCTTACTTATTTTAACACCAATTCGTGCTAAATTAAATAATTTTTTTCTATCTGTGTATAATATAGGTTTAAAATTGATTACTTTGGATAACGGTGGTAGGATTATCGATATAAACTGAAACATCCATACATTTTGTGTTAGTTGCATTTCGACGTGAATACGTGATATTATAACCGTAATTTGTTGGAAAACATGGAAGTTATTAAGTCCAACAAAGGTGGGAACAAATTTTGTTGGAGAGGATATAAATATATAATGAAACATCAAGCACGTAAACGATTAACGTGGAGATGCACAAAAGAACGTTCATTTAAATGTCGCGGAACAATGTACACGGACTTACAGATTGGACATCCTCAAATTGGAAAAGTCCATAGTCATATAGCTGATAAACACGAGGTAAACTTTTTTAATTATTCGAATAATCCTCGAGTATGGATCGGTCGTTTGGTTTCCATATCTGGCCTGTGATCAATTGCGTCTTGAACGAGTGCAAAATCGTTTCCTATCTTTTATTGCCTTTTTATTAAATATTGAACACACACCTCATGATTATAACGTTATCCGCTCCACTCTCAATATCCCAACTCTTGCATCTCGCCGTGAACACGCAGATCTCATGTTTATCACATCTCTACTCAATGGTACCATCGACTCCCCCGACTTACTAGCCACTGTTTCATTTCGCGTTCCCTCCTACTCTACTAGACACCATTCTCTTTTATCTATCCCTACCCATCTCACCTCGTATGGTCACAACCAGCCTCTCCACAGAATGTTACACCTATTAAACCAACCTTAGTCCTACCATTACTTTACCTGTTATCCATATATAATATATATAATTGTATTAACTTTTCTACTTATGTAATTATCTAGTTTTACTATACTTTTGTTAACTAATGCTCTTCGGGGCGTATAATCATCAAATAAATAAATAAATAAATAAATTAGAAAATTGTTTGTGCATACCTACGTTGTTTGCATGTTCAATATATTCATTCAAAATAGGTTTACAAATAACATTAAAATATTTTTTTTCCTTACATTATTAATTCAAAATAGGTTTACATAGCTTAACATGACATGTATATTATCCATATACCTAAATATTCTACTTAAATATAGTAAAATATAATATAATGGTATACTTAAAAAGTATAATGCCAGAAAAATTGCATAACGATCAAAATACTATGAAAAAACGAATAATGATGTGCGGATTGAGCGTAACTCATTATCTACAGCACATTTTGTGGTTTTTAGGAATCACAGCCACGATATTAACTGGTTATTTCGAGGGTCAACATGTTTTGAACGCCATTAATTCGCTGGTCTCAACGTTCAGTAATTTTATAAATAAAAACGATAGTATTCATGATAAAATTGTAAACACGGTTGAAAAACCATTTCCTTTTTATAAACATTTATTCCCACGTACCGTTTCGGACGAAGAATTTTACGAATTCGTGTCGACTTTTGAAAATTCAACGTCGGCGTATAACATTTCCACGAACACACCGTCTCTTTTGAATATAAAAGGGTATCCCATCGAAACAATGTTCGAAGTAACTAGGTATAACGAAACCGTGGACATGATAACGTACAATGAAACGTTTACGTACAGTTCCCTAAACGAACCTGGTAAAAATATAACGGTCATGTTCATAGCCGTCCCAAGGGGGGGGGGGGCAAATGGGGCAAGTGCCCTAGGGCGTCTTAAGTATTATGAATTTAGGGGGCGTACTAGAAATGGATGATAAAAAGAAAAATTTGGTGTTCTTATTTTAGGTATTATTTTTTTGTTTATACTGTAATATCAAAGATGAGTATCTATCAAATTGTATACTATTAAGTAGGTATACAATTATGTAAATAATGTGTTAAATCTTAATGCGACATAACTTCAATAATAATATATTCAATATTTATAAAAACAAATAAAAACATTAATACTTATAAGTTATAAGATTATTAAGATTACAATAGTAATTTATTTAGGCACATGAAATATATTATAAATATGTATATTATACATCATTACAATAATTAAGTTATTGTAATATACTTATAAACTAAACTAATTCATATCTTTGGTACCTAGTAGTACCTTTTTTTATTTTTGTGTCTGTCATCACGTTTTAGGACAATAAAAGTGCTTGGATTTTCTTCAACAGTATCTTTTCTGATAGGAAAGTCCGAAAGTGAATCTAGTTGGTACTTTGGGGGGGGGGGGGGGGTCAAAAGTAAAAATTTCCCAGTAGTTTTCACAAGCACCGGGAAAAACAACATAAAAATTAAGGAAAAACGGGAATTTTTACGCAAAATCGGTTTTCCAAAAAATCGATTTTGATTTTTGGTGTGACTCTAAAAGAAATGAACGTATGTACAAGAAATTTTCACTGGTTGTTTATATTTACATTTTGTATACACGATAACATTTTCAAAATATTTTGATTTATTTTGAACTGTTTAGGGACATTTTCATTTTCCATTTTTTTTTTAGTTTTTTTTCTAAAAAGATCAATAAAATTTTATTTGTTGGTTGCGAAAAGTTGAAAATTTAAAAGAAGGCTTCTAGTATATTGTTTCAAAGGTAGATGAAAAATATTAAAAATCCTAAGTCACAATTTTTTTTTATAAGGATTTAAAGTTCAAAAATTGACAAAATATGGAAAAATCACGAAAATTAGCAAATTATTTTGAGTTAAGAATTCGTAAAAATTTTTCTTTTTTTTTGAAGATTTGAAAATGTAATACAAGATTCCTTATAAGATTATCTACCTTTATCAAAAAAAAAATGTCTATTAGAAAGTCAAATTAAATTTTTATGAGCGTTCGAAATTCGTAATATTTAAGTATAAACGAACAATTTCAAAATGTTTTAACTTAATGGATTTTTTTAAATCAACTGAGAAAAGCTAAGTTATTTCAATTGTAAATTAAACTATTTAAGTTCATAAGTTGATTAGAAAATAAACTAACTAGTTAGATTAAAAAGTTAAAAAAAATTAACTTTTTAACTGAACTTTAACTTTTCAACTAGTTAATGCCCACCTTTGAATTTTATAATCACTTATATTCACTTGTGCAATTTACAATGTTGACTGTTATACTACACTGTTATTACACACGCAGAAACGCAGAACGTAGGATTTATAATGAAATCTAGGTACTAATTTGTGAAAATAGTTATATATATTTTCTTTCTGTAATGTACGAGTGTTCCCAGAATAATGAAATCGGTGTTCAACTAGAAACAAAATAAATATGATTCCAATAATAATATTTAAAAAAATAAGTAGGAACCTTTAATTAATAAGTATTAAACATATTTAAGGTATGTGGTTAATTATAAGCTAAAAATGTGAAGTCGAGATTTTTTGGTGAGAGGGTGAGGGGCGTCAAATATTGTTGCCCTAGGGCGTTATTGGTGGTTAGAGCGGCACTGGTCATGTTAATACAATTTCAGTATCCGATACCCACGGACAAAATACCAAGAAATTACGAAGTGCTAAACCGGTCCAAACTTACGGATTGGTATTCGCATATATTAGAATTAATGGCAATAACCAAAGAGCACAAACACAAAATCAGACCACTGCCGTACGATCGAGATTCATATTATAAATGGTTACCACTTACCGTTTGCGAATCTAACGACATAAAGTCAGTCTATGGGAAACGGGACGCCGGTTAGTGTTGATCAACGCGGCGGCGATAACATCACCACTACAAGCACGCCAATACCGGTAAACGTCAACGGAACTATGACACGATAAAACATGCGCAATAAATCGCAATAAATAGGTAATTTTGGTTACCTACCTATTAATATCAGGCGATCATTTAGTTTCAATGCAATGCATTATTAGTTGAACTACATTAAACTATACATTTCGTTCAGTGTAATTATTGCACGGATATTATAAAACGTAAAATTTGTTTTTTTTTTAATACTATTTGTTATTTATTACAGGTTTTAATTATCATGCATCAAACATTATTATGGATAAAACTGTCGGTTTCACTATTAGTGATACCGACATTAGGGCATCGATCAACTGCAGAAGGTAAGAATACGAATTGCTTTTAAACACTTGGCTGTTAATTCTCTTAGGTAATAATTATTCTACAGAACATTATTAGTAATGCAATTGTATTACATTTTCTGACAAATAACGATGACTTCGTCTTCTATAACATATTATTGGAAATATTCATAGTTATGGGAAGCACCTACGAAATGTTATGGTGGATGGGTTCTCCACAAAAGACGTCGAGCTAGCCTTAATTAATAACACTTCAGCTATAATTATACAACAATTGTATATTATAGATTATAAAATAATAAAATAAAAAACTATTATGTAATATATATTATGATAAAAATGTTTTTATATTTTATTTGGATAATCCTGCAGCCATTAAAGTGGAGAATTCAACATCGACAACTGTCACGCTGAAGGTAAAAAAGCCAATTTTTGGCTTGATGTATTATATGAATGGTTATCAGAAGGCTGAAAATTGGCATGTAAGTACTCATGTATTTTATTTTCCAATAAAAATTATACTATAGTACTTAGCATTTATTTGTTGCAGTTTGTAAATATTAAAATATGGTGGAATGTACCATATAATTACAATAATGTAACTAAATATTTGTAACAAACATATTATGTAAACATGTAATAATTGAATGTAATGTAATAATTGATATGTGTAAACTTGTAACCACATGAAAGTGCTTGAACTAATGGAGGGATGATTGAGTTAATTTTTCTCATTTTAGACGATAAAAATCAACTTTTAAAGGAGGAGATGTAGTAAGCAAGTTACTACGTAACAATAAAACCAAATTCCACAGGTGCATAATTATTATAATAGACGGTAGACCGGCATAGTCGGGCATTAAGAACGGAAATGGGTCTTTCAAACCTAAGGAGACAGGCTCACTGAATAACTCAGGATAATAGGGTCAAAATAGGCGGTTGTCATATTTGACAGAAACACTGGACGCATACGATGAAATTAAAATATTAAAGAGTAAAATGACTATTCATAAATTATTAATCAGTGATATATTTGTAGTAAGCCAGTTACTTATTATTATAATATACGGTAGATCGGCATAACCAAATATTAAGGAAAATAGGGTTTAAAAAATAAGCGGATGAAATATTTAAACACGGGACACGACAAAATCCGAATATAAAGAGTAAAAGGATTATAATTATATATATTAAAAATAATAATCATAGTTAGTAATACATTCAATCGTAAATGCGTAGGCTGGAATAATGACCACACAAATCACATCCGTGAGAACCAAGATATCGTATATGTAGGCAAGGGGTACGGGGAACTCCATATATAAGGGAGCCCGAATCGGCCTGTTTTCAGACGTGTACTACCACCCATTAGTGCAAGCACCTTCACGTCACTCTGTACAACAATACTTTGGACTTAGA